ACATGTGCATAGATGTCCCTCATCAGTAAGGGCCAATGACACAGATGGGAGGTATGTTCCCCAGAATCACAGAAAAGTGTGCCCAGAGCCTGTGGGCTGAGACGGTAGGAACAAGAGAACACGTGACCTGGAAGGGCCAGCAGTCCTGCAGAGTCTCTCCTGGGCCAAGTCCTGGGGGAGTATGTCTCAGAGACGTGGTAGGGCCAGATTTGGAGGTTCAGGGGCCTAAACCTCAGCCAGGGAGAAGAGGGAGTAATGTAAAAAAAAACTCCAGGATGGACAGCCATCAGTAACCATCAGTGTTCTTCCTGCCATTTTCAAGACCTTAGAGTCTTCTATCCAGGGCCTTCGGATAATGTGAAGCTGAGTGAGCCTCCCACATCCAGCATGACAGACTGACAAACTGCCCTGACGGCAGCTCCGCCATTTGCATGATGGTGAGGAGAGCCAGCCGCAAGGAAACACTGAAGACACATGTCGCACAAATGTTTGTGTATTTTTGTTTAAATATAATTGGTGAAAGTGTTGGTTTTTTGAAAGCAGCAGTTATTGGGTTTTGTTTTGAGTTTGAAATTTTTTTGGGGGGGTTGGTTTTTGTGTTTTGGTTTTTTGATTTTTGTTTTTTTGCTATTTCATTCCATTCTTGACCAAAGCTTCTCTTTTAGTAGTTTATTATGGAAAATTGTCACACTAACTTAAAGGGTGGGGAGGTATATAAATTGCTAAAATAATTAAATAAAAATACTGAATGTGCTTTTGGTTTTGTTTCCTTATAATATTTTCATTTTTACTAGAAATCTGAGTCAGTTCTTCTTTAAACCTGTTTTTAGGTTAAAATCTTAGTTTCTTAGTTTCTTAAATTGAATACAAATGTTGTTTTTTTCCAACCAAAAGAACTATTTATTGAATGCTATCTTTTAGCATTGCAACATTTCCACAAAGTAGGTGTACTGTTCCCATATTACACATGAGGCAACAGGGACACCCACCACCCCTAAGCAGCCAAGCCCGAATGGGAGCCTGCTCTGAGACCCCAAGGTCTGGACCCTGTGTCTATAGGAGAGGTAGCTACTGCAGTACTGCACCCCCAAAGGTGTATTGTGAGGGAATGTGAGGGGGAAGAGGAAAGGGACATGTTATTATTTTGGTTTAGAGATGATTGTGCCCAAACATAATTAAACATGAAGTTTGACATTCCAAGGCTGAGAATCTTGAGAGCTGCAATTATAAATGAACAGTAAGTAAATACTAGAAGCCTCAAGCATGGCCATGTTCTTGGCCACTGGTCCAGGAGAAGTAGAGCAGTGATTCGAACACAACTTTGGTTTTAGGACACGGATAAGTGTTTGCAGAGGATATCATGATAGTCTCAGAAGTGTCATTTTGCCCTTTTGGTGACTCATAGAAGCATTATTCCCCTCCAGGAGAGAAGGCCTGGAGTGCCATCTTCCCTGTTTGCTTCAGTGTCCTCTCGGGATCTGACAGCAGGAGATTCCTTATGTATACATGTTTGCACAAGTGCATTGGCAAGGCTGTCATCAGAGAAAAGACAAAAGCCAGCCAAAAAATAGGAATTAGCTAAAAATTTTTTAGTTTCACTAAATCACATAGTTTGGCCAGCAAGCTAAGTTTTAGAGAAACAATGTATTCCATGTCAGAAAACAGCAACAAGAAAACCCCAAAATTTATGAACTTTGCCTACAAGAATTTAATAGCCAGTGTAGTCTTTTTTCTTTTTTTAATTTGGGCCATTTCTCACCCATGGAAGTATGCTCATCCCAGTCATGGCAGCTGGGAACTCTCCACATTGTACTGCAGTGCTGAGGCCTGTGAGATTGTGGAGGTGCTCTCCTCCTCTCACCTTACCTTTGAGACTCAGGCCAGGCCTGGGGTCACAGTGATTGGACCCATCTGAAGGGGTTTTGGGTGACTGCGAAAGCCGTTTGACGGGAAGCTTTGGGTTTCGGTGTCAGAATATAGTTCTGCCAAGTTGTGTGACCTTGAGCAATACAGTTAACATCCCTGAGCCTCAGTATCCTCACCTGTAAAATGGGGGGTAATAAAGGATACAGGATTGGTTATTCCTTTTAGATATTCAGTAAAACCAAGATTTGCTTTCAGGCTTGGCACTGGCCCTATAGTAGGCCTAGATACCCTTAATAACAGCATGGGGTAGGGTGGGAAGCAGTGTATGAAGGATTCTGCTAACCAAGAAGAAATTCAGTAACTCTTTCCAGAATATTATGCTAAAGAAATTGGGGTCGTCCTCAGAATATTAATCGCTTACACATGTTTCTTCAGGTTGGCCCAACAATCATCACACAAGTGGTTTAGTCCCATGTGTGCCCAACCCTGGAAACAATGATGTGAAGGCCCAGAGTTCCCCTAGGTGCCTGCTCTGTAGCTGAGGCCATGAAGCTACCCCATGTGGAAGAGTCAGTATAGATCAGATCAGTATGTGAGTTATAAGGTTATGTTAAATTGTATGCGTGTATAATTTAAGTACTAGGAATGGCCCCCCAAAGATGTCCACGTCCTAATTATCCCCAGAACCTGTGAACTTTGCAGATGGGATTAAATTACAAATCTTGAGATGCGGAGAGTATCCTGGATGATCCACGTGGGCCCAATATAATCACAAGGATCCTTGATAAGATGGAGGCAGGAGGATAAGAGTCAGAGATGGAATTACAGATTGGAGTGTCACAGGGCCATGGAGCCAAGGAATACGGACAGACTCTAAGGCAAGGAAACAAGTTCTCCCATTGCCTGCCCTCTGAGACCCATTGCAGACTCCTGACTTCCGGAACTGTAAGAGAATCCATCTGTGTTGTGTTCAGCCACCCTGTTTGTGGTAATTGCTAGAACAGCAATAGGAAACTAATATACTAGGTCAGAAGGTAAGGAAGTATGGTCTAGAAAGTGTTTTTCACATTGAGGGTCAGAGCCCATTAAAGGTTTTAAAATCACTTTAGTAGGGCCGTGACTGGCATTTTAAAAAATAAGGCAGAAAATACATTTTGCATTTCATGTAGTAAGAAAGATTATTGTTTAATGATACTTAAGTTTCGGATACAAGTGCTGGTTTCTACTAGGTCGCAATATATATCACTGAGTTGTGAGGAAAAAAATTTGAAAACTACCAAGATAGATAGTCACCTGAGGGGCTTCATGAGGAAGGATACTTTATCCATATCTTGATACCTGACCTTAAGAATAGCTACCTGTGCCAGGCACCGAGGTAAGCAATGGATAAGCGTTAACTGCTAACAACCCTATAGTGTTGGAACTGTCATTGCCACATTTTAAAGATGATAAAACTCAAGTCCAGAGTGGGAGTGTGAGAGCCTATGTTGGAAACATGACAGTCTTCAGAGCCCCAGTGGTAACTACTGAGATGCTCCCTACAGGAAATAGAGGTGCTTCAGTGGTCAAGCCTAGTCAGTTTGCCCAGGCTCAGAAGCAGGGTGACGCCACTGGAACTGATGGGAGGGGACTCTCTGACCATATCTTGTGGAGTTTCATTGTAGACCTAAATTTCTCAACTGAACTGCCACATAAAGGCATGTGGCTTGGAAGAGTGTGCAACAAGGTGCCAACCCTATTGGAAGGCCTGCCCCTGGAGCAGGGCCAGGGATGTGGAGTGCTGAGCATGTTCTGGGCCCCAGCTGCGGTGAACATCAGCCCTCCCTGCCTGTGGCCTGGGGAAGGAGGCACAAGGTTTCCCCTCTTCCCTCCTGCTCACAGGGATCAGGGAGA